ACAGGTTCACTTGGTTCCGACTCCTCCTCCTCCACTTCTTCTTCTTCTTCTTCTTCACTCTCGGCTGCGTAATTATTGTCAATGAACTCCTCCGGTTCCATGGGCTCGTCGTCTATCGGTGGGCTGCACTGATGCTCCTCTGGTTCTACAACAGGACTTTTGTCATCTGGCATGCATTTCAAGATGCAATCGCCTAATTGAGGGTAGGTATTCCTCACAAAATTTTCCAAAAATTGAAGCAGCTGCGTTTTATCGCACGTGCAACGAACTTCAGCTTCTCCAACTTCTTTTTCTTTTTCTCCTTCTTCTACGTCTACTTCTTCTTCTTCTTCTTCTTCTTCTTCTTCACTCTCGGCTGCGTAATTATTGTCGATGAACTCCTCCGGTTCCATGGGCTTATCGTCTATCGGTGGGCTGTAATTCTGCTCCTCTGGTTCGACAACGGCACACTCCTCATTCGATACACACTTTGAGATGCACTCGGCTAATTCTGGATAGAACTTCAGAGCGAATTCAAGCAAAACACAGCGCACTTGCTGTTTATCACATTGACGATTGTCTATTGGCGAGTGAGATGCTTCATCGTCCACAGGTTCACTTGGTTCCGACTCCTCCTCCTCCACTTCTTCTTCTTCTTCTTCTTCACTCTCGGCTGCGTAATTATTGTCGATGAATTCTTCCCGTTCCTCGCACTTGTCGTCTGGTTCGACAATACAATCATCCTTCTCAGTACAGCACTCAACTGGACATTCCACTTCCGGAACGCATTTCATTATGCACTCGGCTATCCGTGGACACAACTGGTCAGCCAAGTCTATTAAAGCCTTGCATTTGCACTGTTTCGTGCATTCCTCCGTGACTCTTGCCTCCTCGTACACCTCACTCCTGGTTTCACTGTGTTCTACTTTTTCCATATTTTTCTCCATCGTCGTGGTCACAGTCGTCGTTGTCGTCGTTTCGTTCATGGTGTGTCCGCTGGTCTGTGTAACTTGCTTCATGCCGGCCATATTGTCGTTTTGGTTTAGGCTATGCGTAGTTATGCTGAATTCCTTCGGTTTGCTGGCTTCCTCTGTCTTGATTTCTCCAGTAGGCGTTAGCGACGTTCACTAAGGACTCGCACACACGTCCTCCTTCTCGGTGCTCCTCGTCAATTCTGGTGCTCGTTGCCGCTGATTTCATCAGCTGAGCACTTCCGATATGCCAATCACCTGTCTGGTCCCGTGTAGCGATTCGTGACATCATTGCTCTACTCAGAAGTACTGTTTGCTGCACTTTGTGTACGCGTTGCATGCACGTGACTGGTCGTAGATCCCTAGTACATCACACCACAGATTCAATTCACCTCGAGGTTTCGCATTAGTGCAGCCCTAGAGAAACAAATCGATGCACACCCACAGAACCAGTTTGTGATTAAGCATCATTCAACGCGAAAGTTCAAATTCATCTCCAATAGCCACTACCTACTTACCTGTGAATGTGAATTTTTTAACTAAAACAGTTCCAAATGACGTGCAATAGTGTAAGAGAATTTATACCCATGTGGCTATATACAGCCTCAATTTAATTATTCGCAATTGGCAAGTTGGAGTTCAATGCAAATTCACGTCAGTGTTGACAATTTTAGGAACTTGCGTCAGCGGCATAATAGAACTCCTCCCTATCCCTTTTAATAAGCCGTGGGTTTGTCCGGTTGCCGCTCTGTATTTACCATTGTGCGGGACAAGAAGAGTTACAAATGCAGTAGAGTTGTTTCCTGTCATGTGAATTGCAAAATGTACATCTTCATGGCAAATTGTGTCATTTTACGATAGTGAAATCAGGTAAATAGCCAGATTTGGCGTGCAAACGTATAGCGTTAAAAGGACGATGTGGGTTCATTTCTCCCTTGAAATGCGCGATAAGCACATTGAAACGGAATGGGGAAACGATTACAAAGTGCCGCACTCATAGTTTGTCTGCACCAAAACCAGCCACTTGTAGCTACTCTCATTCATTTAAAATTCTCCTCACACATTATCCTGAAGTAGCCGATCGCATCTCTAAGTACGGTGCCAATGTCACGCACGACCTACCAGTTGCAGAACCACAAGTGTTTCATTCGCCAAGTGCTCCGTCGCCTTTCCGGTGTGACGATATTTTCTCCAGCGAAGTGCTGAATATGCTGGTGAAAAAGGGGCTTCATCGTCGCAAATTGCTCCCACTATGCCAGCCTGTCCAATCAGTTCCACGAGCATGCCCGTGCTAGTGAGACAGATAGATGCTCGTGCTTCTAGAGTGCTTCGGTCAGTGTTGCCCTTGGTGAATTACTGGCACGCATCTGCAAGCGCACCCAACACGACGTGAGCACGCATGAAGCAGTCAATGGTCCAAAAGTGCGCTTCTTGTTGATTTACGTCCGACGCTTTTCACAAGAGTTGAATGCATTTTGGAGAGTCTCGAGTGGAGTTTCGGAACTGACGCGAAACCTTACATCTGTAACTTAGTCGAGTACCTCTCTAGTTTACACTTCCACTCCGTCAGGTTATCTGTCCGTCTAAACCAGTAAACGGCCTTGTTGAATAGTGCAACTTTCCGTAATTGCTGACTGGTGCTTCAAAGCAGCGACCATATTGGTGACGAAGGATTGGGAGGAAACTGTTGCTTAAGGTGAACACAGTGAAACTGGAAAAGAAGACTAGGGGAACTGAGAGAGGTCAGTCCAGTTGTAGACTAGGACTACTCTAAACCGTACTAGTTCCTTGACATTCAACGCCGAGCACTGTCGATGTTGCGGCTGTCCACAAATAAGTCCTTTCACTCTCACTGAGAAGTAGTTCAGCAGTTGTTCGTGTTTAATCTTACACCAGAAGATGTAATTTGAGGTTCTGGTGCCTACAAGAGGCGTGCGTCGACGCTATCAGACGCTTCTGCGAGCTTTTCGAGCTGCTTGTGAGATCTTTAAAAACATGAAGCAGCGTGTATGATGGCTGACAGAAACTTAACGCATGAGTGGTGTGGGACTGAGCCATCGAGCTTCTTACTGCAGCCGAGAGGGCACATCTAACGAGGTAGTTGGGTGGACGACTCTCAATTATGTCTATAACGCGAGGTGAGTGTTACAAATGGGTTTCGTTCAAGCCGACCATTTAGGCCCACACACAATAAGCGCGCTCATCTGAGCACATCCGAGATTTTGGACTTTGGGCTTTTGACGAAGACAGTTAAACGAAGTAAGTCTGGCAGAATTTGTCTGTACCCATGCCACGCATTTCTAGCCACTCTCATGTACTTTAAACTGTTGATGTGTACTTACTAACGCTCTAATACATTGTGCAATTTTTCTCGCTTGATGTATTCTCTTCGGACGTGTGGTGGCGGTTTGCTCACCGTCATCCTCTACTGCTTTCTCTAGCATCTTTAAGACGGTTGTTCATCATGCTCACTGGCAGTGGATCATGCTAAACTACTCACTTGGATTACGAGATGCGCTTAGCAAGAAATTTTTTCTGAAGATCAATGAAAGAAGGAATTGAAAGACGTAAGAAAAGTTACTTCGCACAAGAACTCACGTACGACCACCTGAAAACCACGGCAAATAGCTAGACAGATCGAATTAAACAGAAATGATGAATAACGGAAAATATTGACAAAACGTTAGGAAAATCAAGGCGTGATTCCTTCAATTAGCACAGTGTTAATTTCGGAAAATGCGACTAAGCAGAAAAATGAAAGCAAAATATAGGCAACTTGGTACAATGATGACATGTTTTAAACGGAAAGTTGGTTAAGAATTAGCCAAGTTCAATAACAAATAAATCTTTAGTGACATGTGCACAGTTAGATTCGTTCTTACGTTTTGTCCAAAGGTAATCAAATGCCCCGCTGTGTTTTCGACGGAAGTTATCCACAAGACGCATGAGATCGAAACCACAAAAATGAGAACATCGAGGTAACGTCGGAATATACTCCTGCTCAAAATTCAGCCTAGACATATCGGTGAGTGCTCAGATGTTAAGTTACATTTTAAACAAATCGCGTCCAAGTTTGTGAGCTCACTGCCAATAATAGTGTGTAGTGTTTTGAATACAGGTGTGTTCACATACAGTCCCCTAGCCTATCTAATTTATTTTGGGCCCTCACCATGAGGTCACTGACTGCACACACATGATGGCCGATGAGCACACTTAACTCCAGCTGAATTGATACCTTGCACAGCAGTCACGACTTATGCATTCTGTAGCGGCTGTAGCGGATTAACAGCGATCGCGCCTGAGTGAACCCTGGTTACTAACCTGACTCATCTCCTTTTCATTGGTTACTGTATTAGACGCCAGTCATCCGTTCACCCATCCACACACTAAGGCACACTCGGCTGGCGTGACGCTAATAAACGGTCGTGTTCACCGTCGCCTCTCTTCTCTCCGTCCTCGGGTTGTTGCGTGCTGTTAACTAGAGGGTTCTAAGGTAGTGCTTAGACCACAAAATACTACACGGCTTAGCAGCGATCGCGCCTGAGTGAACCCAGCTTACAAACGAAACAACTCAAGTCAAGTAGACCTAACTGAATTCGAGTTAGACGCGTTTTATTGACCACACTAACTCCCCTATTGTATACCTCTAGGGGCTAGAATTTCAGCAGTACCTTACACCCCTCTAGTTGACAGGCCGTAACAACTCGAGAAGAGTGGAAAAGAGGCGACAGCGGATATAACTGGCATGCGTATGAGTACGCGTGCGTAACAGACGAATGCTGACAAAAATCAATAACAAAAGGGGGTGAGTCATTGGTACACTCGGGCCCTCATGCACGCTCAATCACACGAGGTGGCTGTCTGTGCACTACAAATATTCCCTCCCGAGTGTTAGCTGTGAAACAGTAAACGCTCGACAATTATCGTACGGAATCAGCAAAGCGAACAAAGGGTCTACAATGTCGACCAAAAAGGGAGGTTGGGTAGGGTGAGGATACGGGAGGTTCGTCGTTGCTTGAGCATGTGGAACGAACATTGGTGTCTTTCGTATAAGCAGCTTTGAGACGATCTGTGCTCACAGTATCCAGCTAATAATTTTCGTCAATTACGAAAAATTTGTCGACGCGTTCTACTGCCTTAAAGGGACCATCATAAGGTGGTTGCAAGGGTTTTTTATATCATCAACGCGGACAAATACATAAGGAGATGTAAGCAAACTTGGATGGATCCGTGCTTGTCGTGAGGACATTCTTGTCGGGGTTGGTCGAATGTCCTTCAAGTAGTACTTTAATTGATCGACATAAGATGAAGATGGAAACTTAGTAGTCTGGTCAGAGTTGGTGACCATTTCACCAGGTAGACGCAAAGTTGTACCTGGTGAAAGTTCTGCTGGCGTGAAGTCAATATCTTCCTTTACCGTATTCCGAATGGCTAATAAAATCAATGGCAATGAGTCAGGCCAGTGATTCGAGGCAGCTGTTGCAATAATGGCTGCTTTTAATTGACGGTGGAAACTCTCAACCAAGCCATTAGATGCTGGGTAGTATGCTGTTGTTCGAAAATGCGTACATCCAAGAAGGCGGTGTAGGTCTTGAAACAATCAAGACGTAAATTGTGCGCCACAATCAGTTGTAGTAGAACTGGTAACATCTAATGAAGAAACCTATGATTCCATAAATGCGAGGGCAACAGTTTCGGTGGCACCATCTTTAATAGGTACTGCCATAGGCCAACGAGTAAAGCGGTCCACGCAAGTTAGGACATAAGTAAAACCACGAGACGGCGGACGAGGTCCAACTAAGTCTATACGTACATGACGGAAATGCGCGTCCGCAAGGGGAAAATGTCCAGGTTGTGAAATATTATGACGGTGGACTTTGCTGCGTTGACATTGAATACAGCGTTTAGTCCATAAGCGAACATCTGTACGAATGCTAGGCCAAACAAAACGGTCAGTTATCAAGATCACCAGGGTGCAAAAGAGAACGAAGATATTCAAAATTTTTGTTTTCTTAATAAGACAGAAACAAAGGGGCGAGGCCTACCAAGTGACATATCGCAAGTAATTTTTGGAGAACATTGGGGAAGTGACAGCTCTTCCAGCTTTAGACTAGAATTTTGACGAGACTGTTGTAATTCAGGATCATCCATCTGTGCTGCAGCTAAATGTTCAAGATCGATACCAGGAACTGAAAGGTTATGGATGTGTGCTCGGGACAGCGCATCGGCCACGACGTAATCAGTCCCACCAACGTGGCGAATATTGGTTGTGAACTGTGAAACGTAGTCAATGTATCTGGATTCGCGTGGGGAATACCGATCAGAGACTGCGTGGAAGGTATAAATAAGTAACTTATGATCGGTAAAAATTGTGAACTCACGTCCTTGCAGTAGGTGACGAAAGTGCTTCACAGCAAGATAAATCGCCAACAGTTTTCTGGAAAAGGTACTGTAACGGGTTTGAGCTGGTTGAAACCTTCAAAAAAAGAATGATGACGGCTCAGTATGACCGTCCAGCTCTTTTTGAAGGACTGCGCCGACCGCAGTTTAAGAAGCATCTGTTCATAAGACAATTTTTGCTTCCTTCTTCCAGTAGCACAATTGTATAACATCCGCTATCGCATCCTTGATAGCCTGAAAAGCAGCTTTAGCCTCCTGAGTAAGAGTTTGCTTCTTGGGATTACCTTGAAGCAAGTCAATCAGAGGAGACAAAATTTAAGCGGGATGTGGGATGAACCGTACAAAGTAATTGACCAAACCAAGAAAACAGGGTAAGCTACGAGGAGATTCTGGAATTGGACATTCCCGAATTGCTGTTGTTTTCTCAGCCAAGGGTCTAATATCGCACACGTCAATCTGGTGTCCATGGAATTCAACAGTCTCCACTGCAAAAACCCATATCTGAGGGTTAGTAGTGATACCGAAAGCTTTAAGACGGGCAAAAACCTGCCGTAGGTGCAGCAAATGTTTGTCATTGTCTTTGCGGGCAATGAGAATGTCGTCAATGTAGACAAAGACGAAGTCGAGATTCCGGAGAACTTGGTCCATGAATCTCTGAAAGGTCTGTGCTACGTTGCGTAGACCGAAATGCATTCGTAGGAACTCAAATAGGCCAAATGGAGTAATAACGGCAGTTTTCGGGACGTCTTA